AATTTCAATAATGTTGCTCCATATTTATTCCCTCTACTGTACAATTGAAGGCTATATTGTTTTTGATGTGCGAGCTTCCAAAACCCCTAAGGAAGAAAGGTAGACCACGTCTTATACTTGTAGCATGACGAGACGAATCCAAATCGCAATCTGTCCGTCTGTCTGTCTGTCTGTGCTTCTGTTATTTACAATCACTAATCCTCAAACAGTTCTAGCGCCATATCGACCGTCCGACCAAACTAAGATCAAAAATAAAATATGATTGATATAGATATAGAGGCACTAGGGAATAGTTTGAGGTTGAAGATTCATGACCATGGAGGAATACTGCAAAGCTGAAGACAAAGATGCCTTGTCAGGCCACTTCAAATTTTCTCTGGCTTATACTATATTTTATTTTGTCAAATATTTTGCTTTGCTGTAATGAAGTATCAGAAAGAAATATTTTAAGGCAGATTAGTTTTGGTATTACCGAGAAATACTACTCAGATAGTAACCAATGTGCTTAGAGGATACATTTTCATTATTTGTAACAAGGGTTGAGTGCAAATCAACAATTGTGATTCCATAATACTTTGAGACATTAAGCAAAACATAGTTTGGTGAAATATATATAATATATATAAGTATTATTGTATAGAGTGTAACAATTGATCTTTTTTCATTTCTCAGTATATTTAAATTCAATTATTGCTTATAAATAAATAAATATATACTTGTAGTAAATAATAAGTAAGCATTTCATTCTCAACTTAGTAATTTATATTCAATGCGATTTTTTAATTGCGTTTTCCTCTTCTTTTTTTTTTTAACAGAAGCCGCAATCCATCGAATGCGATGAAAATGAAAGCAGGAAATAATATTTAAAAAGCACTAGTGATATAGTTGCAAGTGATTTCGTTTAGAATTAGCTAAGTCTAAATCAAATCTCAATAAGAAATGATCAATAAATAAAATATATTGCTTTCGTCGGTGAAAAAAATCCAAAAATCAGAAAATAATATTTAAAAAGTTGCAAGTAATTTCGTTTAGAATCTGCGAAGTCTAAATCAAATATAAATAAGAAATGATCAACAATAATGATAAATAGAGATGCGCTGCATATTATTGAGTGCGTGAAAGGCAAAGAGGTCCAGTATTTTCCATCTTTAAATAACATTTCACACTTATTGTTTGTGTGACCGGATTTTCCACTGCTCTTTTATTTTTAGCATAAAGTACATTTTTTGCCTAGCCATATATCTGGTAAATACATTTTGAAACTCAAAAGAGGGGGCATAGCAGATCCATCAAAGGTTTTCAATACCTAGTTAGAGATATTGAGATGCATTCTAGAATTTCAAATAGGTTTGTCTCTTCTACGCCTATGACTTCATTAGTCCCGTAACGCCTCGCAAATGACGCTGAAATAGTTTACGATAGAAAGCGCCCTTTTTATTTAATTCAATCAAATTAAAATAAACAGGCACACACAATGCCATTTCTCACTCAAAAAACTGTCGCTGTGCAAACGCAAAGTGAAAAACAATGAAATAAAATTGAAGCCACAAATATGGTGGCATATGCAAATGAGGCCTATAACAGGCAGCCAGGCAGCCAGGCAGCCAGGGAGCGAGGCAGTCAGTCAGCCGGGCCGTCGGGCAGCAGGCGGGCACAGACAGGAAACAAATCATTGAAAAATTGTCACCGACGCGCGGCTGTGCCCAAACCTTAAAAAACAAACAAACAAACAAACAAACAAACACGTACAAACAGGCAGCGACACCACCGCAACCACCAGCACCCTCCCCTTGCAAGCAGGCTCCTTGCAAGCTTGCCACCGCCACTGCCACTGGCACTGCCTCCGACCCAGCCCAGCCCAGGCCAGGCCAGTCGAGCCCAGCCCGGCCCAGCCACCATCAACATCAACATTAGTGCTCAATTGTGTGGCGCGCCAGGCGGCAACCACGAATCGCATGCAAATGAAACCACAGAAAAAAGGACGCGACGCGCCGCGCCGCGCCGACGACGTCGCCGACGACTATGGCGAGGGCAATGGCGATGACGCTGACGCTGACGCTGAGGACGAGGTCGAGAGCGAGGACGAGAGCGAGGATGAGGCGGCGCCGACAATTCTGGAGCATGGGCGCAGCTGACGAATTGTGAAAAAAGCGGCCCACCAGGCAGGCCAGGCACCAGTAATGGGAAACAAGATGGCTGGCCACCAATCTGCCGAAGCACCGTTCCACCGAGCTACCGACCTACCGGGCTGATGGGCTGCCGGGATGTTCGTGCTCTGATACTTTGCTCGACGCTATAATTTTCTGCTGCGTTCACACGCCATCGTCGAATGTTGTTTTTTTTCCATTCGGCGTTTTCTTTTTGTTTCTTTTAAGTAAACATTTAAATTAAAAACATTTACATCGAAGGGCAGAGCACACACATGCACGAAATTATATGTACAATAATATATAGGAGTGGCGGGCCAGGGGAGAGACGACGAAGGAGGCGTGTGCGTGTGGGAAGTTCTGATATTCAATTATGATATATGTTCTCGTTGGGAGGCGAGACAGTTCCTGATAACTGTAAACTGTGGGTGTACTTGTGGCTACGGACCAGAGAGAAGTGTGCAGTAAATTATAATTTCCAGATATGGGTAGAACTAAGCACACATTGTTTCACTATATTTGCAGTCAACTTTTGTTGAAAATAAGTTGTCTGCCTATTGAAGACTTTGCTATATGGCCGTGGCCCTGAGAATTTTCTCCCTAGTCCGAAATATATCAAAATCGATTGCAACTGGGTTAGGTACAAAATTGTACATTCATGTGCCTTTTCTTGGTCCTAAATTTTTCATTAGGGACCGATTTAAGAACGTTTGGTTCTCATGGCTTTCAATTGCTGAAATATATTCCCTCTTAATGCAGTAAAATTTTAATATTATAGTACATATATTACATATACAAATGTATATTAATAGTACATATACTTTTTTTAATTTAATACAGTAATACTGATAACGAATAACTGACAAAGGATACATATACACATGGACGCAGGGATTTCGGTTACCGAAAAACCGACTACTTACTTAATAATTAAATTGAAATAGAGGCTTCAAAAAGAGGCCACATTTTTAAACAAGATCCAGTTTAGGATCTCTAGACAATTATGGCAATCGATGGATTCAAAAAATAAAAAAATAAATTGGAAAAATATTTGAAAGTACTACATTTCCTTTTATTTTTCCGGGAGCTAATGAGTATTCGTAAGCTTTGAAGAGATATGTATTGACAAGTTGTACTAACTTGCGAGATATAATCTGGAACATTAATTAAATGTAGATGTTCATTTTTTTTTTTTTGTTGTATATACATAGTACAAATTTGGTGTTACTTTTTTCAAATCTCATATATCGTATACCTATAATGTATGTATTTATAGTGATAATTTCCATTTTTAATAGACATTGAACCATTACTCAATTTAACAAGTCAAGTTGAAAATTGCCTGAACATTATTCATCATGCACAACCATTATATTTCGTGAAAACTGTCTCCTTAACAAGTTCCACTCAATCGCTGCTCAAATGCACTCACAACGAGAATGAAATTGGACAACCAACCAGTGGAACGTGGTGAGTTGTGTTACAAAACGAGAGTGAAACAAAGTGCATAAAACTCGAACAAGACAAAACCAAAAAAAACAGCCGTTGAAACTCACCCCCTCCAAACATAATGACAAACTCTCTCACGCACACACACACCATAGTGGCACAACAACAATGTCGATAGCAGCTGCCCGTTGCACGGCGCCCGTCGCACAACTGTCAACAGCCGAAAAAACAAAATGACGAATTTATGAACTTGTTTGCGCTCGCGAAAGTGAGACAGCAACACCAATATTCGCACTCAAAACTCAGACGCCTGCTATTCTGGCCATCTCATTCCCACTCGTGCAGTCGTTATGGAAAGTGCTCAATTTTAGGTTTGTGTATGTGTGTGGTGTGTGTGTGCGTGTGGGGGAATTTTTCGTTTTCAAATTGGAATTGGAAAATCAAATGAGTTATGTTCTGCTCTACTCGTAGCATTGGAATTCGCTGTCCAGACTGCTGTCTCACTCGCACGCTCATTGCTCATCATAATTGTCTGTTTCTTGTGGTTAACCATATAAGCGGCAGCTGCTGTTGTTGTTGTTGTAGTTGTAGTTGTTTCTGTAGTTGTAGTAGTAGTTGCCCCTGCCCATGGCACCCTCTGTGCAGAAACGCCCGCACCTTTTACCTCCGTCTTACGTTTCGAGCTTACGTGAGAACTTTGCGCTGGGGCCCCAAAAAGTCTCGTCTGTGTAAGCTGGCCGCCCAGTATTCCGACGAATTCCGCGCGAATGCGAATGTGGACGCGCATCAACAATAAAACATAAAGTGCCTTCGAAGTACGAAATACGAAATACTCTCGTAGTTCGCATTACCGCTCTGTTTAGTGTTTAGTGTTCGGCCGTTAAGTTGTTGCCGTCATGCCGTCAAGCCGTCCACTTGTAGTGTGTTACGTGACACAGCAGCTTACGTGACGCAAGGCTATTTATAGCGTTACGCCGCTCGACGCTCGACGCTTGATGTTGAAAACTTGCGCGCACATAGTTTGTTGCCTCTGAGCGCTTTTCCGCTCAACGCCAACGCCAACGCCAAAGTCGACGCCGCTGTCGTCGTCGTCGTCGTCGTTAGCTTCGTAGTCAGCGTCGTAGTCCTCGTAAGATCAGCTGTGCGCAAATTTTGGCCCCGCTGCTCCCCCTCTGGCTTGCTGGTGGGTCACACCGCGGGCCTATCTGACAGTCTTGTTGCGAATGCGTTTACACGGCAAAAAGCAAATCAAGCAACTGCTCCATTCATTCAATGGTCAGCTGCGTGACTGTGAAGCGGTTTTCTCGGCGTCGCGCACGGCTTTTCACCAAAAACTTACACAGTCCCGAAAACATACGCCGAAAGTGCATAGCTCGGAAAATACGTCGAGTGTGCGAAGGCAAATGTGTGAACGCGTTAAGTTGGAAAGAATTACTCGACTAACCAAACTGTTTAGAAAGGATGTGCCTACAATGAAAACGAATTCGTGCGTCAGACAACAACAGAAAGAAACAGTTTGTTTTTAAATAGCTAAGCGAAAACCAAAAATTAAAATACCTACATAAAAAAGGCAGGAAAATGCTTTTGAGCAATCAACTCGCTGCCAGTACGAAGTCACAGCAGCAGCCACAACTTCCACAAAATTTCAAAGCTAAGCTACAGCAGCAGTTAGCAACAACAACAACAACAACAACAGCCAATATTGCCAACGGCATTGGCCTCATCCACAACCATAACCTTAACAACAACAACCACAACAACAACAAGATCAATAGCAATAGCAACCACCACCACAACAGCCATCTGCATAATCAACACCATCATCAGCATAATATTTCCTTTGCCACGGATTTCTCAATTGCTGCGATTATGGCGCGAGGCGGAAACGCCTCAAGCCGCGAGCCATCGGAAAGGAGTTTGAGTGAGTAAAGTAATTGACCCGCCCGCTGCTAGCTGCTAGCTCTTAGCTGCCCCCAGACACCAAACAGCTCCCATCACACCCGGGACTCCCCGCACACACACACACACACACACACACACACACACACACACACTCACGCACACACACAGACACATTTCTGACCATAGAGGCTTGCAAAACGACGCAACAGCACATTTCGTATGCTCAAGTACTCCCATTTACATATGCGAAAATATAGAGTGTATATATGAGTATGTATATGTATTCGCACGCACACATTCGCAATCTGAAGTCGGAAAATATCATTTCGGTTTTGCATATTGCCGAGCTTTCAACAGGCTCAAGAGTGTGAAAAGACTTTTAATTGCATTTCCCGCTAAGGTCGTAATTGGAAATCTTTAACATACATTTTCTTTAGCAATTTCCCAAAAATATAAAAGTGGCAGAATTTTATTTCATTTCTTTTCGACAGAAGCTCATTATTCCAGCGCTTTATAAATACAATTTTGAATTTCTAATTCGCTGCCTCGATTAAATGAGACTTGATTAAAAGTTCAATGTATTATTCGATGTGCTTTTTTGTGGTCTCTGTATTGTGGTACTTACATAAAAAAAAAAATATATATATATATATTTAATACAATTATTCGCAATAAAGACATCAACAAATCGTTTAAACAATTGAAGACGAACTCAAAGAAAACATCGTAAAAGAAACGACTTGGCCGCATTATATGTTTTGTTTCAAGATCACGGCAAATAGCACAGATTTTTATTAAGCATTTAAAAAATCACCATAAAATTAAAATATTTGTTCTTGTCCAGAAAATATCTAATTAGTATCTATTTTCGATGTCCAAAACTAGTGTTTATTTTAAATTTGAAGAAGATCCTGTGATTTCCCTTCAAAGCCTGATTCAAATATTCAATTAAATTTGCGGAAAAGTAAACAAGCACAACAATGAACTTGAAAACATTACAGAAGGTGGACATTAATAGCATTTATACGTTAAGTTGTAATTGTAGAATATACAGCAGCGTTTTAAAAGGGCTTTAACTGAAAGTTGTTTAGTTCGGTTGCAGAAATGAAGCAACGACTTTCCTTAAATGCCGCTCCAGTGCTAAGTTGCACAAGCTCGTGTAATTGTCACAATTGCATTTTTTTCGTACATACTTTAATTAAACAATATTTTTTGTAAATAAATTAAATATTGACGGCAATGCATGCATGCATGATGACTTGATAATTGCAGCGAATGCGCGGCAATAAAATAATCAATGCCTATTTGAATGTGCCAAATGGCAGGCACACACACACACTAACACACACACTAACACACACACTAACACACACACACACTCACACACACTCACACACACACACACTCACACACACACAGGCACACGCATATATAACAAGCTCACATTAACATACAGCCAGCTACAACAACAAGCGCAAACCCTATTTAAATGCACACAACTATTTAGAAGCCATAATTGGAAGGCTGGCAAACATACGACGGCAGATGCAGATACAGATGCATCCATTAAATGATACGAGTAGGCCGCATCCAACCTGTCGATGCCTCCCCCCCAACCCCAACCCCCCTTCTAGCAGGCTGCTCTGTTTCAATTCATTAGCTGTCGGCTGTGAATGCGCCAAACACAACAACAACAGCAACAACGACAACGAAGACAACAACAATGCCAACAGCCATGATAACTGCAGTCGCGAAAAATTAAATGCAACAACAACACATACAAATTAACATATAAAATTGCATTTTGAGCAAATAATTGAATTTCGCGTATCTGTAAAATGCATCTGCGCGCAAACTGTCGTCGACAGCGTCGTCGTCGTCATCGCCAGACAGGCCAGACAGTGGTGTCAGCTCAGCCTTTTCCAGCCAGATTCGACTTTATTGAGCCACTCATGGAATTCTGCTTATTTTACTGCTTGAAAGTTTAAGAATCGACTATAGAGCTAATAAGGATTGTGGAAAAGACGAACAAAGCAAGTCATTCACTACAAATATGATTCCTAGATTTGGGATTCCTTGAAATAGGATTCCCAGTCTAAAATAGTGTACTCTATAAAATTAATTCGTTAGAAATAACTCTTTAACCATTAATAATTTGTCTGCTTTTAACATCATTCTTACTAAATAAACGATTTGGCTCGGATATTTAAAAAAAAAAATATACAAAATGCCCTTTTTATATCATATTGATACATATGATATAAAGATCTGACATGGTCGACTTCGACAAAAATGATGAACAAACCGACGGACATGTGCTTTACCATTCCTTCTTATGGGTGTTACAAACCTGAAACTTTACACTTCTCACGAATGATATTAAAACGCAGTTCATACATATATTTATATGAAAAATAACATTCAGAAACAACAAATGGTTAGAACGACCTACCAAAATATTGCGAATAGCCCAAAAATATCTAGAGTTGCAACTAAATTGAGGAATTTAATGACTTCGCGTAATACTAGTTTTGTGTAGAAGACCTCACCATATTATTTTAATCGAATGCTTTCAGCCCCTTCCCAGAAGTAGTTTCGTAGAATAAATATAATTTTTAGCCTTTTTTATAACACGAGTGTCTGGATGCTGGAAAGGCGGCAGCACTGCTGCGGAGCTACTTTGGGAAGCATCTGGCGGCCTAATTGGGTGTGTGCGGCCAGCAATTGCGACTCATTAGTGCAGCAGCCACATGCAACATGTTGTAGGCGCCCCACTCCCACTCCCTCTCACATACACATACACACACACGCACACCAACACCCACCCACACCTACACCCACACCCAATTACATATGCAATCTGAGAACACGCGATGCATTTACAACACTTCAATGTCTCCATCTCGCTCTCTGCTCTTCTCTCTCGCCCGCTGTCCCTTGCGCTCTTGACGAATGCTCTAGGCCCACTATCTGTGGAGCGTTATTCCACGCAGGACCACGACGGAGACGGAGACGCCGATGCCGATGCCGATGTCGACGCCGACGATGATGTTGACGTTGATGTTGATGTTGTCGACTGCAGTGACTCGGAATCGCCGGCGGCGCTGACACAAGCGGCAACAACTGCATCTGTGCAACATGCGCGCCATGCGTTGCGTGTCGCCCAACAACAGCATCAGCAACAGCAGCAACAACAACAACAGCTGCAGCAGCAACAGCTCCAACAGCAACGGCAGCAGCAACAACATCACCACGCAACTCCAAACAAGCAGCGCCAACATCACAATCATCATCACAACAACAACAACAATTGCAGTACCAACAACAACAACAGTAATCACAGCAAATCAAGCAGCCATCGAGGGCGTGTTGCTGCCACATCACACACTGCAGCAGCAGCGGCAGCAGCAGCCGTCGCTGCCTCCCGAGCAACAGCCACGGAAACACCCTCGCCGCCCCCGCCCCCGCCCTCGCACAGTCCTGCCAACACCGAAGACGAACGCCTGTCGCCAGAGGAGCCTGCGCAGGTAACGAAACGCCACCACAAAGTTAGCACAAATCCAATTCGACGATCTGTCCGCAACTAAAAAGCATGCCCCTTCATATCCCGCTCTCCGCTCTCTGCTTCCAGCTGCCAACGCCCAAAATTCTCGGCTCGTGCAACTGCGATGATCTCATGCCGGTGCAATGCCATCTGGAGACGAAGGAGCTGTGGGACAAGTTCCACGAGCTGGGCACAGAAATGATCATCACCAAGTCGGGCAGGTGAGTTCCACAATGATTCTATGATCATACTCTGGCTATAAGTGAACAATGAAAATGCATGAAGTCCCATTATCAACTCAATTCTGATTTCATCATTGTTCGGCGAGCACTAAAATAAACAAATAGAGTGTACTCCGAAATCAGAATAGGCGTGCTCAGGTTTGTATACCCTGTAGCCAAAGGGTAAAAGGGTGTACTTATTTTATGCGAATGTAACAGACAGAAGGAGGTGTGGAAGTATATATATTCTTGATCAGGATGACAAGAGAAGCCAATATAACCATGTCCGTCTGTCCGTCCGTCCGTCCGTCTGTATGAACGCAAGGATTCCAGAAAGCATAAGAGCTAGAATAACCAAATTTGGTATCTAAATTCTCCGAAGAGCGAGAAAGGACAAGTTTGAGCCTTTTTTCTAGTACTCTCCCCCGCAATTCGTGTTTTTTCTATAACTCCCATATGTTTTAAAATTTTGTACCCTGATTCGGCAAATACCTTCAGTTAGTGGCTTTAACACTAGAAAGAAGGCCTCAAACTAGCCACCATGGGGAACACGAAACGTCAGCAAACGTCAAACGGCACGAAGAACATCCTGGTGTATATTCCAGCAGTATCCTTTAATGTCTGTAACATTGCATATACTTGTATGAATATGCGATAAATTGGTATTAATCATTAGATGATATCTATGCCATATTCTAATTGCTCGGAATTCTAAGTCGAGTTCGTGATTCATTGACGAATTCCCGGAAATATTCAAAATGTGTGATTTAAAGCATTTGGGCACTTTTACATCAGTGATTGACGGACTTTTGCTCAAATTGTGGAAAGGGATTGTTGGGGAAATAAGTTAAAATGCGAAAATGTTGTTAAATGTAGTAGAGAGAGGCCTGATAGACTTGAAGGGAACGTCACATCTAAATATGACTATTTGGAACTAGAGGATTACAAGTATTATTACGGTTCCAAATCATGAAAATATAAATAACGACAAATACAAATTTGCTACCAATTGTTGTTGTTTTCGTTATGCGGACGATACATGCTTCAATCCATCTTGCGATCAATAAACATGGATGCGTGGAAATACACACTCCCTGATGATCGAGCGATCAGTGAAGATTATCCCATTGTTGATTTATTTCGATTGTGTGAATGCAATTTCTTGATTTTAGTTTTGCCGCCGGTTCATCAGCAATATTGCGGGCGGGTATTATTTAAGTTATTATAAAGTTTCAGCTTATATTATAACACATAAAAAGGTGTACAATATCAGCATTAATTAATCTAACAAACATTTCAAAAATATTACCTTTTATAATAATGCAGCATTTAATTGGGGAACTTTCCAAGTACAAATGGGTGCCAAAACTTCACAAGTTGAAGTAATCACAGAGAACCTTGCTTCGTAGATGAAGTGATCGCGATTAGACTAAAGGGTGTACGACCCGAAAAACGAATTAAGACTGTTCCCATACTAAAGGCTCATCCGTTATACAGAGGTTAAAAGTGCAACTAAATATTTAAGAAATAATATGGTTTGAAGCCGAGGAAGTTTTTGTTTCTATACCAAATCCTCTTATAATAAAATATCTAAGAATAATAAATAAAATAATAAAATCTGTCTGCTTGTAAAAATTAAACAAAAAACACGTGCTTAGCTATGAAAATTAGTCTCGAATCGTTGAAGTTTAATCATATATTTATCACATAACTTCAGAGCAATGGCTCTCGTGTTCGACTGAATAAACGGAAGAGAATAGCCGTATTTTCGAACTCACCCATCCAACAAATAAAAATAAGCTTGCGATATATATATTTTACCGACTATTCATAGATACAAAATTGTGTTACGATGTCGAAAGATATCGAAACTGAAATATGTTAGAACTATGAATAATTTCTCCACCCATCGTTTCTTTAGCAGCAACTTTAAAATCTTGAGCAAAACTCTTTACTGTCAAATGTTCTATTCCGGCTGTTGTGATTGTAAAGTTCTCGATGTATATGTACTTCCTTCTTCCTGTTAGCTGCTTTCGAATTTAGTTTATCCTCCAACAAGTACATAGATCCAGCTGTCGGTAATTTCCGATAACTACTTGTATTAACCCATAGTGCGAGTCAGCAACATGTTGCCAGCGGCCATTTGCCGCCGCCTCTTCGTCATCATCATAAGTATTAAATGGGGGCACAATCACGCACTCAGAAGCCGGCCGTCATAGCTTCTCGAACTATCAATAAAACTTTAATATGCCTTTCACCCGAAAGTAGCGCCGGCCAAGGCAATCTTAACTGCAAATATCAACAGCTTTTTGGTTAGTTTCCCATTACGAACATAAGAGCATGGCCCGCTGTTCGCGCCCCTCCAATGGCCAGCAGCACACGCCCCACAACAACAACAATTTACAACAACAACAACAACCATTTCTGGGGAGTATTTACAAGTATCGCGTAAGAAAATTGATTGACAAGGCATCGAAATAATGTGCTGCCGTCGATTTTCGATTAGCGAAAGAAAAAAGCAAACAGACGGCGCTGCCGGTTGTCAGCTGTTGAGGCACAAAAACTTAAAAGCCGCCACACACACACACACACACTCACAGACATAGTATGTGCAACACAGCCATATAGTTTGTAGGTATGTATGTATATAGCGACGGCCTAAACGACTTTTCATTCGCAACTCAACGACTCGTTTTTGGCATCATTTCTTTGTTGTTGTGCCTCGGCGACTTCCAAAATTATGGCGCGACGATTTTCGTGCGAACGTCGCGTAAATGAATATGAATGAGAATTCTCGGGGCAGGCATGGAGAATAAATTTCGAGTCTTTGTACAGCTACCAGGGCTGGAAAGTGCAACAAAGCAGTTTTCTATGACGTGACATTGGGATCAATCCCATTTGAACTTCAATCGAGCATATTCATTAATAATATATAGAAGTTGTATCTGTACCCTTTGCACAAACCTACAGTGTATGCCCTTTTTCCCTTCCTAACTGGAGAAACACCTTTTTCTGGGGAATTACCTAACTGGGGAAAAAGCTTTCTCTGGACATGAAAACCCAAACTTGTATATTTTTATATATATATATTTAGATTTATATTACCACATTATATTACTATATTATATAGTTATATTGTATTATAGTTACATTATATAGTTATTGTTATATATATTGTATATATTATATAACTTTGCTATGTATATTACTATATTATACTATTTACATATAGTAGTATATAGTACAAGCAAATATTGCAGCTAGAAAAGCATGTGTATTCCTTAACAGTATTTATTTGACAAGTATATGACAAATAGAAGCTTTATGTCAGTGGGAGGAGTGGTGATTGAAACACACATACACACACACACACACACACACACACACACATGTGAGCGGATTGAAGGATTCACACACTGTGAGTTTGCTCCAGAGTAGGTTTTCAGAGTTCTATCGTCCCAGAAGCATGATAGCGGATTCAAGAGTTCTCATAAAACTTAACAATTTCCATCTTAAAAAATTATAACACAAAAAATATATAATAACTATAGAAAGTGGTCTTATTATCTTACGCAACAAAGGCAATACATATGCCCTCTAATTAATCAGTGAAGGGTATAAAGAAGGGTATTCTACACTTTTCATAGTACTATAATAAAGCTTGAAGATTTCATCTACACTTTGAAACCCTTTATGACACCATTGGCATCCGATTTAATGACATCAGATATATGTTTACCAAAACACGGATCGATGACTATATTACTACGACAATGATGTTTGTACTACAGCTGATGGAGATCCATAGGCGGTGTTTTAAAGGTCCACAAATGTCAAGCCGCTCTGTAACGCTTCAGCCCTGTTCTTACCTTCTTGCCTGCCTCCGTTGTTGCATCCATATATAGAGTATATATATGTACATATATACTATACTACTGTGAATCGCGTTTTAGCCGTTCTTTTATGTTGATGACATGCGAAGTGCGCATTAGTCGCTGGGCGGCAGTTGGGCATTGAGTTTTTAGTTTTTGTTCTCTGGCGTTTGTTTTATTTTTGTTTCGTTGTTTCAGTTCAGTTCTGTTCTGTTTGTTTGTTTGTTTGGCTTATGTTGTTAACCCTTTTGGGGAACACTCACATGTGCTTCGGCCTACCTACCTGCTTGCCTGCCTGCCTGGCTGTCTGGCTGGCTGGCTGGCTGGGCTTCGTCGCATTTACAACACATTAACAAATTTACTCCTTTCACTGGCAGCGATGACAACAACAACTGCAGGAGAAACGACGACGACGACGAGGACGTCGACAAAGTATAAATTGCAGTGTAATAGCTGCCGATTGCCGCGCTAACAACACATTTGCATGTCCTTTGGCTTTTTGAACATGCTTTGTAATTTTTTGTTTTGCTTTTTATACTGCTGCTCCGCTGCCCCGTAATTAGTCAAATGATAGCAACGTCCTGTCGCTCCTGTTCCTCCTACTGGGCTTATTTACTTTTGTGCGAGTCGGGGCGACACATGCAACAAAGCACTTGTTCGAGCATTCACATTCCCATTCACATTCTCATTCGCATTCACATCCCCATTCGCAATCGCATTCACATCCACATTCTCCTGCTGATACGAATCTATGTCAGCACGTCATTTGGCGGCGTCGTCAGCGATTAAATGCATCGGCATTAGGTACTAAGGCTCAGTGTATCCCACTTTTGACTGATATTATTTAAAGTGCTGAGATGTGGCTGGGCGTGTCTATGCAAAATAAACGAAAAATTTTAATATATATATATTACCAGAGAGGAATTTCTATTTTAATTAATTTATTTATGGTTAACATAGAACTGCCAATTTTGCAAGATAAAGAACACTGTAGATACAAAGTAATAATAAGAAGAAAAGAAAAAAATATTGAGTATTCAAAAGAATTCAATATATTAAATTGTATAAGTTAAAATAAAATTCAACAAGTGAAACAAGTAGTAGAGTAAGACAGGATTAGAGACTGTC